ACACAACAGTGGTGTTGTACCATGTGTGCACCTCTACAACTGTTAAACACAACAGTGGTGTTGTACCATGTGTGCACCTCTACAACTGTTTCACAGAATATTGGTATTGCACCATTTTCTACCTGTACAATTAGAACACACAAAATGTGAAGTATCTGAAAACGTTTCATAGTGTTACCCTTTGCTTTCGCATTATGATGCGTTCACTTTGCACATAGTTAATGGAGCGGAATGGTTGGGAAACCTACTGTTCTAGGTTTTTGTTCGACTTTATCCATCGTTATATGACGTTGACCCTGCACAGAGATAGAAACGTTGCTCCGTTTCTTCATAGTATTCGGGAATATAGAAGTTTTTAAAGGGGCACTTGGATGAAAATGGATAAAAATTGGAAATGACTTTAAACTTAGTTCAACGTATCTATATGGCCCCAATAGTAGACAAGCAACATACTTTCTTATCAGTAAAATGTAGCGGATAAAAATTATCAGTTTAATTCAGCATCTAAATTTGGAGTAAATGACTTCATTTACTCAACCCTATTGTTCTTTCTGCTTTTGAACCAAAATATCTCAATAGCAAGTGGTTCCCAGGCTAAAATGTTCACTAATCTGGTTTACATAATCATAATTGAGTCATATTATCCTCATATACTTCAATTATTCGGACTTTCAAAAATTGGGGCGTTTTCATCCAAGTGCCCCTTTAACCCTAAAAAAGGTTCTAAAATACTTTATTATCCGTTAATTAATCCTATATGATTAATACAAATTGTTTATTGAAAAGGAAATTGCCTTTTTTCATGCTTTCGTATTTATCATCTAGCAACTTAACTGTATCTGCGCGGAAATATTTATTCGAATGGTTTTTGGTCATCGAATGAAAGTTTTTACTTTCAAAATGTTCATACATGAAAATAATAAGGAATTGAGTATTTTTAGCCATACTTGCTTTGGTCCATTGGGCAGGGTCAGTATCACGTGATGGTACGATTCAACATCAAACGCAAAACAATAGTTTAGTTCTATGGAGTTTCCAAACCATTCCGCTCCATTAACTATGCTTTGCATTAAAAATAATTCCGGAATATTCTGCCAGCACTCCCGCCGTATATGACCCCAAGGCTTGAAAAAAAAAACAAAAACAAAACAAAACTTAAAAATCGAACATAAATGGACAATGCAAATAAAAAAAGGCTCTCTCCTCCTTTTTGCATAAAAATAATTTCAATTTAGATCGATTTCCATGTCCAAAATCTTAATAATCTATCACAATGTTTTGTCTCTGACGTGATGCATTGACATGTATTTAGTTTGGCAAAGCGCCCTTGATATTAAAAAGTATACTTTGGTTAATAAAATGAAATAGCTAATAGTTATCAGTTTGATTAAACTTTTTCAACAGATTCCCAATATGAACTGCATTCAATCATCAAACATATACAAGAATAAAACATGTTATAATTTATCAGTTACCATAAGGCTTCGAGTGCAAACTATGGAGATGGCATGGCTGATTAACTTTAAACTTTTATGCAAAAGAGCTGCTAAGGTGCACGATCACGTTTACCTTCAATAACAATCTACCTAGATATTATTAGAACGAACGTAGGATCACTATATTAAAACTAAGCTCAGTTAAACACGAAGATCAATGCCCACTAGCCCTATTATCGTGTATAAAACAATGGATAAAGAAGAACAACAGATTACTAAATAGAATCTATTATTATTGTTATCTATGTATTATTATTCCCGAACTCGGGTTGCCATTTGCATAGAGTTGTTTGTTAATTTTCTCCTGTGGTTCGGGTTTTTTTCTCCCGATTCTTCGGATTTCCACCCTCCGCAAAAATGAATTTCTAAATTCACTGTTCAATTTGAGTGGATACTCAGYAGACATGCCACTGTTAAATCCCATYAATTWATTTTATTTTATTATTTAATAGATGCATTCTTTAATAAATGTTGTTCCTTTTCTTTGTCTCGTTGTGGTATATTTAATTCTTTTTAATAGAGTTTCTCTGGTTCGTTCTCTCTGTGTTCGAGGGTTTTTCTACGGTTTTCTTTCGCAAAAATCTTACTCTGGCCTTTGGCAGGGGAGACTGAGCTGTGAAATCACTCTCAACATATTTGAAGTAAAATACAAATTACATGGTTCTTTCTGGTTCTTTCTGGTTCTTTCTGGTTCTTTCAATGCTTGTATCAAGGACTAAATCGGCGACACCCCAATCACACCTTACCTTCACTTCAAGATGTTCAGTTTAACTTTAGGCAATTCTAACTAGATGACTTGGTTAGTTTTCTTCGGTATTCTAGAAGTGAAAACACACAACATCAAGGCGGAAATACATATTGTTATCTCATCCTGAGAAAAATCTAAACCATTTGAACTTTGATATTCAAACTAAACTATCGCTAATAAACGGATTTCTTACCTGGAAGTAAATTCCCTTGTGCAAATTGAGAAGCTTGGCCTTTTTTTCTCGACAAAGACACATAAGATGTTTGGCATATGATGTCGCAATAGCCAACTTCGTAAATATAATTTGGTTGAGTGGTCAAGCACCAAATATTTGGAATGCAGGCTCTGGGAAGCAATAATATAATGGCATTATTGTTTTGAATCCTCGCAGCTAGCCTCGATGCATTTAGTTTATTTCCTGTTCGATCATTCAACCAGAATATCGAAAGCTGGCTATGGGTCGCGTAGCCTTGCACTCRAGAYTTATGAGGGTTATAAACAAAGGTGTTGCCGCGTGAGTAAGGCTCATTGTGGGCATAATAAGTATTATAATTTCATATTGGACGAGGTTGWGTAAAATATCGTGATTTGRTAGTGGCRAGCTAGCAATTATTTGCCGATGCCGAGTTTTGTAATAAACGATCTRAGTWCAATAATTGTTTTATCATTCAAATTTCTTTTTTCATTTYCTTYTGCGTTTTGGCTGTTTTTACTRTCTATCAAACATATCAAGYCACAGGGAAGTGAGCAATATTGATCRCAAATGCAKYGTTACTGCGCATGAGCARAMTATTRTTTGCAGCAAAACGGCTTTACATCATGATGCGCATGAGCAGAGTATCATTTWGCAGTAAGTTATTTGCAGTTGTCTMCGCCGTTCAAAACGACGGAAAATAATTATTTGAATGATAATAGATAATAGTTAATTAAACCGCGTTAGACTGGGAAACACAGGGAGCCCAATTCAACATTTTTCTAGTACGACTTACGAAATATATATTCTTTTATTTAATATTAACGWYTTCTTYARTTATGAKAKTGGGATGGTCTAGTGAATAATAACAAAATTCTTAGTCCCTCTTAGCGTTCACTAACCCCCACTATCACCAAGACAAACACCCATCACACACTAACATAGCCATTCAATGGAGAACTCGTGGATATTAAAGTGTATTTATATTGAGTTATAACTATTGTGTAAAAATTATTACATGAGTATATATTTTATGATTGAGTGATTGGTTTTAGAATTTTTTTACCCTTTTTTTCATCTATCTTGCAAATGAATTGATTGCGGATTCTTTTATATTTCCAATTAATCAATAATGTATTCATATTAAGCAGTTGTAAAAAGGCAGATGGGGCATTGAAAAAAACGACGTTCGATTTCGATTTCGCCTACTCGTCTTTCGATTTCATCTCTACTAAAAAAAACTTGTCATTGCTTATCACCACCGCAAGTACAGCAGTGGCGCAGCTCAACGGAGTCGAACTGATGATGAGCTTCAGGGACATCCTCACGAAACAGTGTTGTAGAGACACAACCACTGTATTATATATATACAGCGCTTTACTAAAATGTCGATAAAATGAATATCGATATATCGTTTTTCAATTTAGAAAATCGTTTTGATAAAGGTCAAATACGATGTTTTCGGGGAAATATAATCATAGTGTACATTGTGAGCATTAACTCTAGATATTTGGCTGACTTTTGGTTGAAAATCGTTATATATAAAGAATCTAGAAATAATATGCAAATTAGTTTATTAATGGAAATATTTCAGAACAATGCAAGTAACGAACAAAGTTGAAATTCAAGGAGTTTTACAAGGAGTTTAGGGAGTAGCGCGAACCCTGTGTATAAATAAACTAGCCGTGCCAGGAGTGCTGCCAGTATACAGTCCTTTGACTAAACGTTGTCGTTTGATCGGCTTCATCCTTACGCGCCTAGGCCGAAAAGGATCATGGGGATAATTAATTCACAGTTACTAGCTGCCGCATACACGTTATCTAACACGTCTTGAGGTCGCTTTTTTCGATCCCATTTAATTTACTAAAACCCTGTCTCGAGCATACGGCGAAGATTTAAACTAGCGAGCAGTTTGGATGACACAAGTTCTGGGTAATTTACMCGTTATCCTTTTCGGTCTAGGCGTGTAGGGATGATYCGATCAACGACAACGTTTAGTCAAAGGACTGTATATGCGTGAAATGACACCTAAGAACTTGAGACAAATTAGATTTCATTTGTTTATACTACTGTTTGTAYTTCACGTCATATTGATGTATGTTTATTGCATATGAATCTTAACCATCCAAAAGTTAACAACTAAAGACTGAGTAATTGCTATCCATGGCCATTAGTACTACGACCAGTCACTACATTCTAACCAACTATGGGCTATAGAGGTTTAGTAGCTGAATAGCGCACTAATAATTTTGAAGGGCTTTGGTTGCTTCGAGCATAGCTCCTAAAACCCAACTCAATTCAAAACCCTTTAATCTTTTGCCACATGTAAAGTGAAAGACTTCTGCTGTACATTATTCCCATYCTTMAAAAGCTCGTAAATATAATTGAGTTGGAAACAAAGCTCATACATGATATCCGGGCCATACTTGCTCGTATCTACGTCTTCCGCGGGTTCAGCGCAGAAGGTATCGGTGGATTTCTTAATTTGCGGTAAAGTGACAATCTCGTCATCCTTCTTTAGCATTCCAATATCGTTAAACGTAAAATAAATGGCGCTAAATTCGTAGAAAGTTCCCCTCAACTCTGGCTGCACGATAAAAGGGCATTCTTYAATGTCTGGATCGTTACAGAAAATCCTATTTCTTATCGCTTTCTTACAAAGAASCCCGTTATATTTCCCTATAAAAAGATATTTTTTGTTATTTATCTTAATTTCTTTTTCGTAACCATCGTTGTGGCAGTGGCTGATGATCTTCTTACTGTCAGAGCCTTGCTTCGTCACCAGATATTCGTAGTATGATTGTCTGGCTTCGTTGACTCCGAAAGACAGGTAGCTAGCTGTGCGCAAACACGGGATAGGTTTTTCCCGCCAAGGTTGGCTCAAACGTCACAAGTGGGCTGTCTTTTCTTGTCTGTAAAGAAACAGAATGCGCAATAAACAGTTTTATGACAAGAGTAATATATAATTAGCGCTCTAATTGGTTAGATTTTGTGGCGTGACCACTAGCGCATGCGCAATATAGTAGTTTCACTGTTATACGAAAACTACTCTAGATTTACAGCATCCTCGAAAACCCACGGGTAAACTTCTGTTCGTTTCTCACTTTCAATGTCTATGGAATTTCAAAGAGTTGTGTCGTTGAAGTTGTGCATTCAATACATACACAGTTGTGAAGTTTGACTAGCTCTGAGTATCAGTATGTAATCAAGAAGCAAAGTATTTTACCAATACGAAAAATTCTCACCCTAAATGTGTTCTGAGTTGACGCTCCTCCCAAATCAAGCGCTCCGTAAGTTCTGCCAGACGTCTTCTGCGAGAAGATTCCCTTCAGGAAATTCGTCAATCTTACCCAGTAGGACGACCAGCCTGACGTCTTCTGTGAGAAGACTCCCTTGATGAAGTTCACTGTGATCCATCCATATAAAGCCTCCTCTTGCCCGCTTATTATCTTCACGAAGTCCTTCTTGAAGTGGAATGGAGAAAAGCCTTTATTTGAGAGAAGCTTGTTCACTTCACTGATGACAGCATTTTTCTGGGTGATAAAAGTAATACGCCGTCGTTAAAATATAGGAATAGATAGCCCAAGCTCTGTTTCTGGGATACAATTTTTTATGTATTTATCGGATTTGATTTTATCAATATGAATAAAAAGTTCTGTATCGACAGTGATATTCAAACTATGACGGAGACATTAATCGCATAGTTGAACCGCAAAAACTCGCCAAAGAAAGAAATGTGAACTGAGAACTTCTTAATATCCCACAGCTCATTCATGTCTTGTAATCGCCAATCACCGATCGCCATTTGCTTTTCGCCATTTCATTTTAACCTTTTTCGAAATAACTGGGATATTCACCTTGTCATTTTCTAATAATCTCATACCAGCGGTTGCATACAGATAGATTGGAGTCGATGCCTGCCGGTCAGCGGGAACCACCTTTTTAGCACTGTCAATCAAATCATCAAGATAGCTACTGATATCACCGATGGAGTCTGCAAACGAACTGAGGCCAGGTTTAACCTTGTTAGGTTTTGGGACGTCGAGTTCTTTGACATCAGAGACTTTAATCGGGTCGTGAAGACCAACATCGAGCTTGTACACCTTGATTCAGGTCCACTTGAGCCCGCGTCACAGAAGACAGCGTACTTCACTTCATCCTTAGAAGCGGACTTTTTCATATACCTGGCATGTAATTGGTCGACGTTTTGAAATAGGACCATGACGAGAACGGTTAAAACCCACGTAATATTCATGACGTCAGCAGTGATGATGTGGCCTAATTTATTTTAAAAAGTAAAATTATCGGGCCCTTAATTTTTCATTAATTTCTAGGTTGTTTTTTGGAATAAAATTTGCTTTGTCCTGACTTTTTATCAGGTTACAAATTAAATAGACAAGTCGTGTGGTGGGCGCGACGTTCACATTCCGATACGTCATGAATGGCGAAATGAGACAAAAAACTTAAGATGAATTTAAAAAACTGGTCAAGATTCTTAACACGTAAAACTATCAAAAACACGTATTTCTAATAAAGGTATTTCTCAATAGAAGTTTAAAATGCTCACTGATAGATTAAATTTGAATGTTAAAAAGTAGGCGTTCTCCATAACTTTGGTGCATGCCGCTAGAGGAACAAAGGAACGCGAAGAACGAAGGAAGGAACGAAGAAACGAAGGAAAAGGACGTAATTTGTTGTATGCAATCTTCCTGAAGTACAAATATTGCCTGCGACAATCCGCCCAATTTTGCAACGTGTGTCGCGCCTTAAGCTTACCTGTACTGGTGTCGCTAAAACAAAACCAGAACRTTTTTGTTGAAGATTGACGAATACTTCGTTGTATCTTGATCTTCTGATGTATAGACAAAGCAAAACACACCCGGAATGAGCGTATATGATACGTGGCCAACAATATTGATGGGACGAATACTAACCGATTGAAACTATGTGTGGTCTGAATTTATAAGCACTAGCGTTATCCCTATTGGATGCCGGTAGAACAATGGAACAAGGACCGCGGAGACGGGGGGAATGAAGACAATAAAACAATAAAACAAAAATCCTTACCCAGAACATACAATAAAGCTTGCTATATCAAGTAAGACCATTAAAAGGTGTCTGTCGTTTCGGGAAAATATCAGGGATGATATCCCATAATTTCTGATATATTACCCCTAGTTAATGTTGCTACGTCGGACAAGCTAAAATGTGTTTTCGATATACAGCATGGAACAGACACCGATTGCTGAAAATCGTAAATGTCTCTCGTAAATACATTTAGAAAACAAAGATAGCTTGCCTACTAAAAACCCTTGTGAATTCGAGTTTGTTTGTCAAAGTCAAGACGTTCTATATTCCTTTGGGAAAATTACCAATGGGAAAATTACCCATTGTTCGGTGTCGGCGGGTTACTCAAAGCGGAGGATATCTAAATGAAGGGGTACAACTAGATCTGGCTGTAAAAATTACAATATCGCCAGTGCTTCAAAAATTGTCTTACAGCAGTGAGTACCAAACTTATCATATTACTAATGCTGTTGAATCCCTTCCCCCCAAGTGTTTTCATCAATTTAATTGAAAGAATCTTTACGAAAGTGTCCAGTGTTAGCCAGCAAAGATAGCAAGCTGTGAATTCAACTTTGTTTTTCGGACATTCATCAATGGGAAAATTACCTATTGTTCGGCGCCGAGTCACTCAAAGAGAATATCTTCAACTAGAGCCGACTAAAAACAATTTACAATATCGCCACTGTTTCAAAAATTTAATCAGTAACGGGTTTTCAGTTGCTCATAGAAACCGCTTAAATTTTTAAAAAATGTCACCAGTGATTCTTAAAAATGTACTTTGAACAGTAAATTCTACTATAAGGGGAAAAAATAAAGAAAATACAATATTTGTGTTTGCATTTCACATCTAAATTCTTCTTTGAGTCCTGTCATGGGCGGCCAACACCGCCAAAAATACTCAAACGTTTAACATAATAAGTAGTAAAGAGAATAGAAAATAATTCGACAGTAAGGTATTAGACCTTTTTAGCTTGGGCGTAATGTTTTCCCATTTCAGACACGTGCCATTCCATTTGTCATTCCATATTCATGTATCTTCTTATGCACATTCATTAAACAAAGAAATAATACTCTGGGTAATGATGCATGGTCTGAATTGGAAAAACATTTCGCCCAAACTAAAAAGGTCTAATTGATAGCAAGCTGTTCCATTTGACATCAATAGCTATACCATTCTATATTGAGCTGTTGTAATCAACACGAAGCTATTCCCGATGAATAGTCCCTTTCACAGTTCCCTGCGCCATCTTCAAAGGTGGCCTTGCCTTTCCATCGAAACGAGACGAACGGTGAGCTCGCAATGATAGAGACCTTTTTTAACACCTTGAACAATTATTAGTCACATGTCTCTATCATTGCAAGGTCACCGTTCGTCTTGCTTAATTCGATGCAAAGGTACGGCTACTTTCAAGATGGCGCAGGGAACTATGAGGGGGACTGATTGACATTATTAGAACTTTTTTTCTAATAGAGAAAGTGAGGCCTTTTCAATGCTATTTGAAAAAGTACTTCATGAAAACGTTTCCAGAACATTTTGTTAAATCCGACTGAATACCAAACCAGGTGATCTCGGAAAACGCGCAATGCATGATTTTCTGACTTGAAAAGGAATCAATCCCTAACATGACCGCGCGCCTAGATTCCTGGACGGAACATTGCTGTGAAGGACGCCATTTTGTTTTGAGTTGGATTTGAATATGTATTCTCTTGAAATGTAGTGCGAAATATTGGTGAAAAGAAGTCATAGCTGCATATTTGAAGTCTATAGCAATGTTTCAAGTTATGTACAAGAAAAGGTTTACAAGAAAAGCTTACTTTAAGTGTGTTTATCGTTTTTTGTGATTCCTATAGCCAACAAAGTTATTGAAAACTTGATAATATGCTCAAATTGCTATTTAGTAGTAACGTGTATGTAGGTATATTACTATTTTTAATAACAATAAACCTTTTTTGATTTAAAAATGTGTTGTATTTACGTGCTATTCTTATATGTGTTATGTTCTTGATTATTACCGATCCCACACATATCTTGTTTTTTCTGCTTCTCGAGGCCCGCAAAGGTCTATTGGGATTGATTCTTTTTCAACAAACGCGATTCGCAATCTGATTGGCTAATCGATTTCCGTCAGATCACCTGGAAGAAGTTATGAAAAATCGAAAATAGAGAGCGGTTTTGTATGTATTTATCATTGGAGGCCTCGTTTTGGTGCATTTTCAAAACTTCAAATGCTCATACTTTTCAAGGATTCATTACTTTCATCAGAATTTCACACGCATTATCTAAATCAACAAGCTCAATGATATAAAAGGGTTTTCACTCCAAGAACTTAAATTTTCAACTTTTACGTAAATTAGCAGCAGCCATTTATGAAAGTCGTGTGTATTCTGTCTGGCGTGTCTAATAGTATCGTTTGACTGTTTAATTAATGGTTGTGTAAGAAAACACATGAATGTGTGTCTGGCGTGTCTAATCGTATCGTTTCACTGTTTAATTAATGGTAGTGTATAAGAAAACACATGAATGTGGCGTGCGCTCTAATTAGACGGATTATTCATCACATTTTTTCTTCCGGCAAAAGCAGACATGCCCAGCACCTTTTCATCGTTTTCCTGCATTTTACTCACAGGCTTACCATCCGAAGTATCTGTGGTTTCGGATGTGTGGGCTCAATGTGGTCTCTTGTGGCGTTATTTCTTGAATTTGAATTCTGATGGGCTAGATCGAGCGGTGGTCGAGTTTTGTTGCCTGCCTTCCCCCTTTCTTCCCGCTCTCATACACACAAACATAGCTCAGGCCAAACGCCAAAAACTGGCCTTAAAACGCATCGGACGAAGAAATAACACTATTCAAATTTCATGAAGTGAATGACTAAACTTTATTTTGACGGCATTTAATTCTTAGAAAGTTTTCAGAAGATGTATTTTTGAGAAGCTGAAATCACTCGATAATTCAAAATTTTATTAACACAGGGAGCCCACACATCCGAAACCACAGATACTTCGGATGGTAAGCCTGAGATTTTACTAAACTCTTTGTAAACCTTCTCAACAAAAAAATGAAGTACTACGTTGAGATGTTTTCGATGCTTTTTCWTTAATTTTAAAGAATTCTGACGTTGCTTGACAGTTTACAGTAAAAGAGATGTTTAACTCGCTAGGCGTCTTTCATGCACGCGGTATGAATCTAAAAATAGCTTTTCTTAAGCTTGTTTGCAACATTAAAGAATTCTGATGTTGCTTGACAGTTTATATTAAAGAGATGTTTAACTCGCTAGGCGTCTTTCATGCACGCGGTATGAATCTAAAAATAGCTTTTCTTAAGCTTGTTTGCAACATTAAAGAATTCTGATGTTGCTTGACAGTTTATATTAAAGAGATGTTTAACTCGCTAGGCGTCTTTCATGCACGCGGTATGAATCTAAAAATAGCTTTTCTTAAGCTTGTTTTCGATATTCATGACTTTTTAATTCTTTTCGTGATTATATTTTATAAAATACAATGAAAAGAATTACAAAGCCATGAATATCGAATAGTGAATCATCATTTTCTTGGAGACAACGTTTTTCCAAGGAAATAATGATTCACTATTCCGTTTCTGCCGGCATTTTCTTCCACAAGGTTTTTAGCTCAGCTTTGACTCCACTTTTCTGGTTTCTATAACAAAAGGATTAAGTAGGGGAAAATTTTTATTGATGCTGGTAACTGACATATCGTTGCCTTCATCATGTCACCGTAGTACCCGCTCACTTTTGAGTCATTTTGTAGGTATAATACGTACTGTATATTTCAAATTATCCCTAAATTGCCTTTACAACCCAACTCAATATTTTCAGTATTGATTCTACACGAAGTGAATATTTGAATGGTAAAAGAATTTCATATGATTCGAGTGATGCATCTTGGAGATATTATACACTTGATGTCTGGTCGCGAGAGAAATAGTTCTGTTTTCCGAGTCTCGATGTTTCACCACAGGCCTACTATCCGAAGTATCTGTGGTTTCGGATGTATGGGCTCCCTGTGGTCTCTTGTGGGGTTCGCCCGTTAATAAAATTTTGAATTATCGAGTGATTTCAGCTTCTCAAAAATACATCTTACATCCTAAGAATTAAATGCCGTCAAAATAAAGTTTAGTCATTCACTTCATGAAATTTGAGTGTTATTTCTTCGTTCGATTCGTTTTAAGGACTAAACTTTATTTTGACACATCCGAAACCACAGATACGTCGTATGGCAAGCCTGTGGTTTCACGAGGCGAAGCCGAGGGCAACATCGAGTCTAGAGGGAAAACAAAACTAACTAATTTCCCGAGGGACCAGACATTAAGTATTTTGTTATATAGCAATTAAGAACTAGTCTAGAGGGAAAACAAAACTAACTAATTTCCGTGGGACCAGGCATTAAGTGTTTTGTTATATAGCAATAATTGAGAAAGACTGAGAAGTCAGTTTACGGAATAAGAACTTTATTTAGCAAGCTAAATGCATGAAAACTGACCATGATTTTACGAATACGACTCACACACGGTCTTTTGTTTCTCTACCAAAAAGCGAGGAGAGCAGCAACAGCATTTTTTGTCGCTTTCTTCGTATTTTCCGAATCCTTTTTCTCGATGAAAGTAGAAACACTGGAAAATATGTTGCTTTGTTTTGCTTGTTGTTCAGCTCCATTTGAACTGAAAATTCAAGCAAAAATTTGCTGCCACTTTGTTGTTTGTGGTTGGTGCAAAATATCACGCCATCACAATTATTGTCACGTGCAACTTATTTCCTGACCGGGAAATATTAAGTAACTTATTTCTAGCTAGCTAGTGTCACGTGGTCATCTTTCAACCAATGAGAGTGTTCGYTATATCGGAATATTTCGTAGCTATATAACAACAAGGTTAATATTTCCAATATGCTATGAGTGTGATGATAGAAATAAAAAAATTTGTTATAGGGCAGCAAAATATCCTGTAAGTAACATCATTGTCTCACTCAGGGTTTATAGAAAATTAATAGCGAATTTGTTTTCTCATAGTAATCAGTGTTGCAATTTAAAAACGATGAGAAGCAAACTCAAATTTCTATAATGACATCGCACTCATTAGGTAACATTTTGGAAGTAAAAACCTTGAAATCGTCAAGATGCATCACTTGAATCATATGAAAATATTTAACCATTCAAATATTCACTTTATGTATAATCAATACTGAAAATAAAGGGGGGATACTAATCACGTTTCACGAAAAATAACGGTCAAATCACGTTTCACGAAAAATAAAAATGGCCATTTTACGTTTCACGAAAAATAACGCTCAAATCACGTTTCACGACAAATAAAAATGGCCATTTTACGTTTCACGAAAATAACGGTCAAATCACGTTTCACGACAAATAAAAATGGCCATTTCACGTTTTACGAAAAAAAACAACGGTCAAAGGCCTGTGAAGCAGGAATTCACAAGTCGACTCAACCACTCCACTTAAAGGATACATGGGACACAAAATTACATCAAATGTTCACTTTCTTTGAAAAATACCTTAAATTATTTCTGAAAGGAAGATCTTTTCTTTTATTGAATTTTTTTTTAAAGATTCTTATTAATTCTATATTTCTTTAGTTTATGACCGATCAAAGATGTCGCCGCGATGGCAGGTACTATTAATCACATGTCCCTGATCGCATGTCAGCGCCGATTCATCACTTGCCGGGAACATCAGGATCAAGCACTACAACTTACCTATATTATCTTCTACTATTTCATTAGTGCCACGCGGTCCTCATACTCTTATCCTGCTGTGTGTTCATTGGCTAAAAGTGTCGCCGATAATCCTCCTAAGTAAATATCGATTTATCCCCTATAAACTAAACTTTGCTTTTTGTCGGCGAAGAGTTTTTCGGAATACAACGACGAACTTTTGCACACTTATTCTCCTGTGGTATTCAAGTCATTTCAGCCAAATTTGGTCAGTCGGTTCGTACGCTATTCAACTAAAAAAGCGTATCGGAGTTTTTTAATTAAGGTCTTAGTTTATAAGATATTTTAAATTCATTTCTATGAGAGCACAAGTAAAAACCTCTTTTCTAACTTCAAAAATCTTTTTAAAAATAACGAGGCAATAAAAGAAAATTTAAGACAAGCTTCTTTAGATCGACAAGCGTAGTTTAAGAAACAATAACGATCTAATTGTGTTACGCAAAGTGGTGGGAGAATAAGTCGCACTTCGAAAGTCATCTCATTTTTCTTAAATACCTTATATCTTCAAAATAAACAAACATTTGCTGAGATTACCTTGAAATTTGAAAATTTCAGTTATTACGCTTTCAGAAAATGTTTACTTTATCATATTATATACATATATTATACATTTGAAAAGAATCATAAAAGCCACCTATAATCAAAATTTGAAGGAAAAAAACATGGCAAAGTTTTGAGAAAATGGACCGACTGCTGCATGATGAAATGAAGTTTGAGGTCTAAATAAATACATTCTTTTCAAATTTCTACAAATATTTCTACATATTATTCTGTAAAGTCTTAGAAGAATATCTTAGGAAATCTTTCATTTTTTTCGACCAAAAATGCCTCTTGTTTACGAAGTAGGTCAACTTACACTTCGGCGATTTTCATCGTGAAATAGGGTGCACTTCGATGTCTTCTGGCCCTCTTATGAAGTCGGTGACCCCCATTTCTCTTTTGCTCACTGGACTTGTAGATTCATCTTTTTTCATCATGCAAAGTTTGAGGGGAAACATGGGGCACTTATTTACACGCGAACGTCCTTAAAGTATTTTTATGGAAATATACCATTTACTGAAAACAGATACTAAAATCTAACTATTGTTAGGGGGAATCATTTTTCCAATATTTATCATTGTTTTTTAAAAGTTTTTGATATATTTGTTTAGACATTAATTTTTATATTAAAATACCAATAGTTTTATTATAAAACTCTATACAACAATTATTTTTCCTAGATTTCTGATCATATATTTGAGATATCATAATTGTCAATGACTATTCATATATGATGACTAGCTAACTAATCTACTGTGATTGTTTCTTTTTGGAGCTGTGGCAGAGTGTTTTGAACATTTATGCACACCTTTCCTAGTCTACTTTGACTTTGACTGTTAGGGAGGGATTGGGGTAGTTGTTCACGTAATGACGGTATTGCATTGATCATTCTATTCAAGAGAATAAGGTACATATTCTTGACGAGAATAAGAAACAGAAACACAAGCCATTCCAGCTATTCTTGGATCTTGGAATGACCCATCTCCTATCGCTTTTCACCTATCGCCTTTTGCGTCCACAACCTCTTTTGAAATAGGTATATACCATGATACAAGACCAAATGATACTACCCCAGGCTAGGGTGTTTTGTCTATCGGCCAGTTTAAAAACCTCGGTCTTCATTCTCGTTTTCATAGGATGATACGATAATAATTATGGTAAAGGCAGAAATAAATCAAAACCTTCCATGTCTAGTTTTTTAAACCAAAAATACCGCTATTTCTGTAAGTCGGCCACTTTAAAATACGCTGTACAATTTAGTAGGGGAAGTACTCACGTGACGGCGATCACGCGACGGCCATCACGTGACAGGGAATCACGCGMCAGAGATCACGTGACAGGGGGATCACGTGACGGGGCCAAATAAAGTATGTAAAAGTAAACATTTCTGGGTTAATAACATGCAATATTGTGTTGATAAATTTTCTCCCTATGTAACTGTCGCCTGTGTTCCATCCGGCCTTTTCTTTCGGATGTCACGCAGGCTATGTAACTGTAGACTTACTGGACCTCTGCCGGTTGAGAATTAACTGACGTTTTGACGAAACTGATCAAAGATGTAGGAAGGAATGTGTGCCTCGATCGCCTACAACAGAAGAGAATATATAATGGTTTTAATGCGTGCGAAATAAGGATTAACAATATAAGAAACTATACCGACAGTAATTTGAATTACTCTCTGTATCGTTTATATTATTATTATTATATATTATATATATATTATTATTATATTATATTATATATATTATTATATCTCAAAATCCTTACTTATCAAGAAATAAGGATTGCTTTTAAATTAATATAATTATTCCTACTTACTTTTCTTTCCAGTTGACTGTATGACAAATAATCCTCCAAGAATATTAACATGTTCACTACCTCGGGCGGAAGATCACTTGTACGAGCACTGTATCGATCAAGCACATGGCAGATAATTTATATCAAAGCCGAAAACCTCATTTAAAAGAATAAAAGAATAACACCGCAGTTCACTGGAGTGACATAAAATAATGGAAGATCTCCGGGGGGGGGGGGGGTAGCGCAAAGTATCGATTAAGACTACATGTCTAATCATGTCTTCCTAGATAAACTTAAAAAATTAGTATGTAGGGAATGACCCTCTATGCACGTTTTTCTTAATTTTTAATCTTTTGGTTTTGCGCAAATCTCTACCCCTAAACAGTGACCCCTAAGAGTAATTCTAGAAATCCTTATCACCTGAAATTCTGGGTTATCAAAGCAAATGGACGAATTAGTCTGCACTTTACGTAAAGGACAAAATCTAGGGAGGCTAAGGCTCATGTCAAACGTCGAATTTCACATGCGCGGAACCTAATGACATCAAAGAAGACCGCCTTGTTATCCATTGCTTCAATTAGGTTTGGCCCATGCGAAGCTCGACTTTGGACCTGATCCTAAGTAATCAAAAATAAGCAGTAAAATAGTTGATTCCACGTAACTTACTTAATAGCTGCTGCCTCGACAAGAGAGCGCACGTACTGTCCACAACAAGAAAAGAATTGCTCGGTGTACTCAGAGTGGAATTGCTTTAACAAGGTGATTATTCCTACTACAAATGGTGCACAATCGATCTGGTCTGTAGGTTTACGAGAAACCATTGTACCTGCAAGAAAATGAACAAAGAGGATAAGAGCGGAGGAGAGAAAGAGGGATGCATGGTATAGGCATAGGCTGGCATGTAAGCAGCAGAGCGGGAAGGCACGCAGCTAAGGGCGGAGGAGAGAAAGAGGTTCCATGGTATAGGCATAGGCTGGCAAGGTAAGTATGCAGAAACACAGACACTGCGGCACAAGGAAGTGATATTTCTTAACTACTTGGTGCAAGTGCACAATAAAAGAAGACCTCGCCCAAAGCCACGATATGGGATGTCAAGAGATAAAGAATTATAGCTACGGTCTAAAAATTTATTCAAATCATTAGTTCATTCTTTCTCGGTCTTATGGATGTAAAACCAAAAGTCAAAACTACTTGAAGCAAATTTTTGTAGTACTGCACTTACCGACACTTTTGACGTAAACGAGCTTAGGAAGCTGAGAAATGACACAAAGGAAATTGAGCAGAGAAAAAAAAGGGTACTTCTTGGTTGTCACGTAAATCTAGTAAAAAAACAGATAACACATTTATTATGATTTAGTAAAGATGAATAGAGTACTTGATTGAACCACGAATTAGAGCATGCTATACCGTCTAGCTGAAGAACGGGACAGATGCAATAACAACTCTTTACTATCAATAGGCGTCACTTCCGGTACTATATCTGTGTTTTGACTGGGGGCAATTAAAATTCATAAGCTTGGAGAATCTTTATAAGGTGGTACTATGTGTATCTTGATTTCGGGTTTCAGGTCATAGAAATAGTAAGATTGATACTTTAAGGACTTATTTTGACACGTTTTGACTTGACAGTCACCAGTTGCATATTGAATGCCCCCCAGTCAACTCCAACGAAAAGTCACGTGATTGATAGTAACAATAACCTACAACAAGGTAGACGATTGACTGTTAAGACCTGTGCTGGCTACTGATGGAATAACACGAACAAACGACTTGATGATATCGACAAGATATAGTATCGACAACGAAGTTTTATCGTCTCACAGAGTGACGAGCAGAATAACAATGTCTAACAAGGCACTGAGTCGTAAAGACTTGTGCAAATGAAGAACGCCAAGGAACAATTTAATATCAACTATTCTAGATAACGAATAGGCCTTTTACAATATAGATGCAAGATACGAAGCAATTGAAAGTTTATTTGCCATCCAGCAGAGCCTTCCCCAAGGGACCTTGAGGCCGCTGAATTGATTCGTTAGTAAAGGTTGTTTGTTGTAAAAGGCCTATTACCAACGATAGATTATCTACTGGCTAACAAGTCAAAAATGACTGATCGATCGTAGGTGGTAATACCTTGTTCAGAGGATTGTGTATCCCAGCCCATTCAAGATAAGTGGCTGCTTCAAACATCAATGGGTTGTCTTCTTTAGGGTAGGGTAGGGTTGGATCTTGATAATGTGCCTCGATGTCTCTCAATAAAGCCCTGTAACAAAGTAAAGCAAGGATCTTATAGCTAGAAGAAAAAATCCACTCCGATCATGGAAAGATATCTATAGGTTTGTAAGCCACTCGAAAATGGATATTTTATAAACATTTTTTAGCTATAAATGAAGTTCTCTTGAGTGGCACTACTCTCCCAAGTGGGAAGCCTGTGTTGCGCATTCCTTAAACGCAGAAGCCCGAACAATGAGTCCTCGAGTATTCAAGATGTAAATGACTAAATCAGGGCACGAAATCAACTTTTAAACCCACAAGCAAAATCTTGCTAATAAGTTTTGTTCTCATTAGCAAAAATTTCAAAGTCACTAGCGATCAAACGTTACTTGATGCGGGTTCTAAACTTTTCAGTCCTTCAATTTCTGGACTGTGGTCATACTCGCAAAACGTGGCTAGAAAAATTTTTTGTCACTCGCTAAATACAAAATTTCACCAGCATTTTGCGAGTTTGCGAGTGTTAATTTCGCGCCCTGAAAATGAAGCCTTTTGTTGTCCATTTACTTGTTAAATGTTTCCAAAGCGCTTCCCAAGATCTTAGAGTCAAATTTACAGGCACAGTTCAGCTCATTTGCGATCTGTCTTCTTATAAGCTGCATCTGGCCTACCTGAGGAGAGAAAATGTTCAGTAGTAGTAACTGAAGACTTGGGCGTTTTCATTTACTTCCACTATTGAATATCCGTTCGTTAGTGAGATATAAGCGCACTGAGACGTCAGGTATACTGCGCTATATAAGAATTTATCATCATCATTATAATTATTATCATCATCATCATCATCATTATTATAAAAGTTGTTTTACTTTTGACTATTAGACATTCACAACTGAAACAGTTTTTGAAATCATTCCAAAAGTACAAAATTTATTTTCTATTTTTTTGTATTCCCTTCATTTTCTGGTATTTCACTCTGGTATTTAATTAAAACACAGCCCCTTCATTCTAAGAAAAGCTGGAAAAATGAAAGGCAAAATAAAGTAAGAAAAATAATGAAAGCAACGACGAACTAAAAGTGAGGGACAAGAGGGAACTGTTGTTGTATTTTTTCTGTACTAACCTTCATTATCAACTCAGTGTACTGGGTCCAGAGTTTAGCGGTCCTCTGTGAGGCTGGGGGATACACCCTGTACGGACTCGCTACAATATGAACGCGAACACAAATTATAATAATCCAACTAAAATGAATAGATGTCACACTTGACACGAGGAAGTTGTTTCAGGGTTCGATTAAATTGATATTTGAATTCAGTTTGCCTTACAATGCTTCTCAATCACATTCGTGAATCGTACAATTTGCCATCGTGACGAATTAGGTTTTGGTGCACGTGCCCTTAAAGCTTTGCGTTTTCCGACAATGCTGGGAAACACTTTGATTGGCGTCCTCCAAAACTCTAACTATTATGTCTAGAATTTTTAAAGCCGTCTATACACGGGCAGGTTTTCCTTGATAAGTATCTTTGACAAGTTTCATTGCATCGTGTACTGAGACGGTTAGCAAGTTTCTTTGATAATTTTCAATTGACAAGGTTTTTTTGCTCGTGTAGGTGATAAACAAGTTTTCCTTGACAAGCATCTTTGACAAGTTTCATTGCATCGTGTACTGAGACGGTTAGCAAGTTTCTTTGACAATTTTCAATTGACAAGGTTTTTTTGTTCGTGTAGGTGATAAACAAGTTTTCCTTGACAAGCATCTTTGACAAAATTCATTAATCGTGTAGACGGTTAACAAGCTTTCTTCGACAATTTTCTTTTGACAAAGTTATCATTGCTCGGGTAGATTTAGCCTTAAGATGGAATGGCCCGGACACAGTACGGGAAGGCATGCAATAGTGTTTGTTAGTTCTTTCCTGTAATTCGAGAGTTGTTTTCCCTTCGAGTTCATTCGCGCCGCATTCATATTCATACTGAAGTCGTCTCAGTGTTGTGGCATTGAAATGTTTTATACCTGAGGAGAATTTATATAATTTACCTACTAAGCTCTTGACTGGTGTTAGACTCTTAGACAGACCCGTCAAAGTGTCCACTATTGACTTATCCTTCAGAGCAGCTTGAAGAAGGATTATGAACTTCTGCAATACGGCAAAAAAGGAATTTGTTAGCAAGTGAAAATTTGTTAGTCTGCAACTGCAGATTGTCTGGTTATAACAGTTGTCTTGGGAGAACAGGGAATTTTTGCCTATAAGGTTCGTTTTTGTCGTATGAAAAAAGTTTTCTATTGTTTGTACAAAAACGTTTTTCCCTGAAAACCTCGACCCATTTCCGTTTTAAATGCAACATTTTCCCGCGGCCATGTTTTTTTTCTTGGATAATTTGGCGCATGCGCAAAGGTTTTTTCGGCCCTGTTGCCATAGTTACCGCTTTCCCTTAGTGTAATTAAACACAGTTACCTGGATCTCTTTGACGATCATGAATGACAGCAGTTTATCAAGTCCTATCAGACCAAACGTGCCAACACTCTGCTGCAGCTGACGCAGAATCAGTAGGTTCATCGCTTCTTGTTTCGTCCTAGTGTCATACCAGGCCCCCATCTGGTCGATGTAACACGTGGTTCTAAAGGCATTAACAACAGCTGTTAAACAGGGCCGGCAAACCTTGATTTATGGGTATTATCGCCAATTAAGCCACACACTCCTATACAGTATATCTAACATGCTTTGTTTGGACGTGAGAAGGCCAATATAATCGAGATTTATATGAAACTAATATTAGACTATGTAAGAATGTGATTTACAGAGTTTTACTAACTTTGTGTCTGTGATTCGTAAAATCTCCCGCGCCAGTCTACCGATAAAATTCACAGACTCGTCCACCCGAGGGAACTTGGGAATGGGGATAGTAGTGGACTGGTAAATAGACTGCCAGTCAAGAACCTGAAAAGGAATAAAAGGTCAATTCAAAACAATCAAAAAATTTACTTTAAAATAAAAAACCATACATATATCCACTATACAATAAGAGAATAGATAATACAAAAAAGCAACCCTCCATACCACACACCCAACCCAACCCTCCGTGCCACACACCCAACCCAACCCTCCGTGCCACACACACAACCCAACCCAACGTGCCACACACCCAACCCAACCACGTGCCACACACCCAACCCAACCCAACGTGC